GACAACGGGGCAGACAGTATCACAAAAGTTCAATACGGCCTTTCTCCAGGATACTAACAAACTCAACAAATTCAAGATAGTCCTCAGCAACAAGTTCCAGGCCTTTCATGATCTACTCAATGGAGAAGGAACTACTGTGGAGAGCAACTGGAAGGGGATCAAAGAGGCAATCACTTCAACATGTCATGAGGTCCTGGGTCACAAGAAGCACCAGCACAAGGAATGGACCACTGTTGGTACGCTGGATAAGATTCTAGAAAGGAGGAACAAGAAGGCAGCGATCAATACCAGTCGAACAAGAGCAGAAAAAGCCAAGGCACAAACTGAATACACGGAAATAAACAAACAAGTGAAGAGGAGCATCAAAACCGACAAACGTAAATATGTGGAAGATTTAGCAACGACGGCGGAAAAGGCTGCAAGAGAAGGAAACATGAGACAATTGTATGACACGACAAAGAAACTCTCTGGAAATCGCCGCAAACCAGAACGACCAGTGAAAAGCAAGGAAGGCAAGGTAATCACCAACATTGAAGAGCAACAAAACAGGTGGGTAGAATACTTCAAAGAACTCTTGAATCGACCAGCTCCACTGAACCCACCCAACATCGAAGCAGCACCCACGGACCTCCCAATCAATGTTGGCCAACCAACAATTGAAGAAATCAGCATGGCCGTCAAACAAATCAAGAGTGTCAAAGCAGCAGGACCGGACAACATTCCAGCAGAGGCACTAAAAGCAGACGTAGCGGCAACTGCACGGATACTCCACATTCTCTTCAATAAGATTTGGGATGAGGAACAAGTACCAAAAGACTGGAAAGAAGGACTACTGATCAAAATACCGAAGACAGGCGATCTCAACAAGTGTGATAATTACAGGGGCATCACTCTTCTCTCAATACCGGGAAAAGTCTTCAACAGGGTATTGTTAAACAGGATGAAGGACTGCGTAGACGCCCAACTTCGTGACCAACAGGCAGGATTCCGTAAGGATAGATCGTGTACAGACCAAATTGCAACTCTACGGATGATTGTGGAACAATCAATTGAATGGAATTCATCACTCTACATCAACTTCATTGACTACGAAAAGGCATTTGATAGCGTGGACAGAACAACACTATGGGAACTTCTTCGACACTACGGCGTGCCTCAGAAGATAGTCAATATCATACAGAACTCATATGATGGATTACACTGCAAAATCGTGCATGGAGGACAGTTGACAAAGTCGTTCAAAGTGAAGACCGGTGTTAGGCAAGGTTGCTTACTCTCACCCTTTCTCTTTCTCCTGGTGATCGACTGGATCATGAAGACGTCAACGTCTGAAGGGAAGCGCAGGATACAATGGACATCTAAGATGCAGTTGGATGATCTAGACTTCGCAGACGATCTGGCCCTTCTATCCCAAACTCAACAACAGATGCAGGAGAAGACGAACAGTGTGGCAGCAGCCTCAGCAGCAATAGGTCTCAATATACACAAAGGGAAAAGCAGGATTCTCCGATACAACACAGAATGCACCAATCCAATCACAATTGACGGAGAAGATTTGGAAGATGTAAAAACCTTTACGTATTTGGGCAGCATCATTGATGAACAGGGTGGATCTGATGCAGATGTGAAGGCGCGGATCGGCAAAGCAAGAGCAGCATATTTACAACTGAGGAACATCTGGAACTCAAAGCAACTGTCAACCAACATCAAGGTCAGGATTTTCAATACAAATGTCAAGACAGTTCTACTGTATGGGGCAGAAACCTGGAGAACTACGAAAGCCATCATCCAGAAAATACAGGTGTTTATTAACAGATGTCTACGCAAAATACTTCAGATCCGTTGGCCGGACACTATTAGCAACAACGTACTGTGGGAGAGAACAAACCAGATCCCAGTGGAGGAAGAAATCAGGAAGAATTGCTGGAAGTGGATAGGACACACATTGAGGAAAGCATCCAACTGCGTCACAAGACAAGCCCTCACATGGAGTCCCCAAGGCCAAAGGAGGAGTGGAAGACCAAAGAACACATTACGCCGAGAAATGGAGATAGACATGAGAAAAATGACCAAGAATTGGATGGAAATAGAAAAGAAGGCCCAGGAGAGAGTGGGTTGGAGAATGCTGGTCGGCGGCCTATGCTCCATTGGGAGTAACAGGCGTAAGTAAGTAAGGAAGGACTACCACCTTTTGTTCCCTTTAGGTCCTCCGGATGTCCCATACTATGAGAAGATAAAACAGACAGAACTTTCCCCTCTCAAAACCGTGTTAACGTCTTTGAGGACGTTGTTTTTATTCATCTGTTAAGATGGTGGTTGGAGGTAGTCAACAGGAAACCCTGGACCCGGGTTAACCATTGGCATCCTCATACTGTTTTAGGACTGCGCTTTTTTACGGACACTGTAGCTATTCGAGCATTACCAAGACTTTCAGCTGACACTAAAGTTAAAGACTATTTCGCACTCACAGTTTCCTGGTTTAACTGGTTGATCGAATTGGCATAAAGCAGCTCTTCCATCGTAAATTTAATTAGATCTTCTTCTGGTCTTTTAAGAGCATAGATAATCTTGTTTATAAATTTTATTATTGTCATGAATCCTCAGAGATATTTATGGTTAAATTGTATTTTGGATGCTAGTTCGATCGGAAAATGTCTCCTATTGTTTCGAACTTCAGCGTTGGTACTATCAGAATCCATCGGGAAGGCTTTCCACCTGTCCCAGGCCTTCCCTTTGACCTGTATCAAGTATTCCATGCATTGCTGAACCTAGGATCTCTTTTCAGGCGTGCGCTTTTTCAGAAGTGCGTAGTGTGGGATAGAATCCTGGATGGTATGTATCCCTCACTATCTTTCAGTGGTCACCCACTGTTAACCTCCAGCAATATAGTGACCATGAAGCGTGTTGAGGATGCTCTCTCATCGTCATGTACTATGCTCTAATGTAGCTAAGTTATAAAATACTCTGATCCTTCCGGAGTAAATCGTTTGTCAACACGTACAACATGAATGTACAATGACCACTACATCCTCGGACATGGATATCCTCAACTAGAAGCTGATCATATGTCAGCAAAAAGACCAAGTTTAAAGGCTTCCCATCCTAATTTAGATCCTGACTCCAAAAAAGGCACAAGCAGTCACGAACAACGAAGGTACAATATGACGTATAATAACTTGATAAACTTGAGATTAGAAAATTGAAAATAAGGCGGTGTTTACAATGAAATGGAAGTCAAAACTGAAAAACGAGCAGTCAATCTAAAGTCAGAGTCGTACATCACATGGTTGCAGCTAATCCGAAAAGCCTATTCCTTCATGAAGCATCTCTTCGACACACTACAGACCGAGTTTCTCAGTTGTTAGGTCCTAATGGATGATCTAAACAACTACGACACTGATGGAGCAGAACTCCTGGCAAAACGGTATTTTTTAATACTTCAACCTCCACATACAATTCACATCGAGAAGGACTCCACCTGAAACTCAACAGGAAGTTCAGAAGCACACCTAAGTACTGAACTTGTATACCAGTCTGCAGCATATAGACAAGGACACTTCTCCTGGTCTGCTATACTGTGATTAGCGGCTGCAATTTTGGGAAAACCTATCGAAGCAGTATTCTTACAGTCACCAAGCTATGACGCGTTCTCAGATAATTAAGGGGCAGCGCATATCGCTCTAAGTTCTAAAGGTGAATGATGCAGAGAGCTTTCGAATTTCCGGTCAGTAGCACTTCTTTCAATACTCTCATAGGCTGTGATATCCCCCATACATGACGGTTAACTAGCCTACTGGAAATCGATAAACTTCGAGATAGTGGAGAAGATTTCAGCCCAACGACGCGGTTTTAAGAAGGGCTATTTCTGCTTCATCAATGTACTAACTGCAGTAGATAGATAGGTAACGATCATTGATTGTAAGAGAAAGGTAGATGTGATGTGCCCCGGCATCTGAAGAGCTTTTTATGGAGTAAATCATACATGTCTTATCAATCAATTCAAGCTGAAAGGTATGGAGTCATCGTTGTTTGAATCATATTTAAATGATCGACGTTTGAAGGTCAAGGCATGCATCGCTATTTCTCATTTTACAGGATATCTATGGTTTAGTACTACGATTACTACTCTGCAAATTATATAAATGATTTAACAAAGAAAGCATCAACAGAGCTATTACTTTTCACCGAATCCCTTAAAGCTTGAATATAAATTTACGACCCACATCACAATCCTAGTCTCCTGTCACCATCGGTTTTGTCATAAGCTGACGATGTCAAGATATGGACACCTTCAAAATGACCTGGAAAAACTATCTGAATGGTTTGAAATTTGGTAGTTACCGATGATTGCCTCCAAGTGAATTATGATGCATATCGGTCACCAAGGTACAGACACATATACGGTGAATACCAGTAAGCTATTTGTTATCCAGACACACAACGAATTAGGAGTCATCATTAGCCAAGACTTAAAAACTACTACACATTGATATTCAATAGTCTCCAGAGCTTTTAGAAACTTGTGGTCAATACGAACGGCTTTGAGCCATGTAGATGCTAGAATCACCTCGACTTATATCAAATGTTCGTTCGCCCCAAACCTGAGTACTACATACAAGCGGCTAGCCCTTGCCTAAGAAGGGAGAGTGAGCTGCTAGAAAAGGTTCAGTAACCGCAACCAAGCTGATTCCCGGAATAGCAAACCTGTCATGTGATATTTGACTGAATAAACGAAACCTTGGTGATAAATATTTCCTCACTTTTCTTGTCTTCCAAAGCAGAGGACTTACGAGGACACTGGAAAAATTTGAAAGTCTAGTACAAATTACTTATCAGCTGACTATCAATTTTTCTATCGAATCATCAACGAATGGAATTAATTACTTGAATACTTGTTTGAAGTTCCATCTGTCGACGTTTTTAAACGAAAGTTGGATCAACCTAGAGCAAGGGCCATCTGTTCTCCTGTCCATTCAAAACTGAAACAGATGTTAGCGCGCAATTTCAAAGTACACGTTTCAGTGAGCGCACGTGTTCGTGTACACTAGCAATTGATATGTTATCGTGGTAAATTCGTGTGGCTTGTATTTATTGAATAATCTTCCAGACAAAACTCTTATTCTCTCTCCTACGAAAGGTTTAGATTTTTGACCCGACATGAATCAACTTTATGGTTAGAGTTATGTCAAGTCGAGAGAGGTCCCCAATCAACCGATAAACGGGAAATAAAGGCGAACAAAGGGGAAACACGCCAAAATGTCTCGTTTTTTGGCTGTCTGGAGAAAATAGTGCGTATTCTTCCCCTTTATATCTCTCTGTGCTTCGAACTACGCTGAACTGTCCACTTTCGCATAAATACACGCCGAAAATATAAATACAGGGAGCGGCATATTCAAACACGGTACGTTACGTATGTTTGTCTACAAAATTCCCTTAGATACACGTTGTAAGGGATAAAAAACGATATTTCCCTTAAGTAACCGACGTTAAAGTGAAAAGTCGACATTTCCCCTTTATTTACACTTTCGTCCGCTTTATTTCCCATTTATTGGTTGCTTAGGTCTAAGAGTCTTGATGCTCTATAATCAATAGTCTTACGCCAAATTTGGCACATATTCCATTCCAGGAAACCCTGCACTAGTAACGTTGAAGTGCATTTTTTTCAGCTTTACAGTAAAACTTTTCATTTAGTGTTTAACAACTTTATCTGCCCTCATTGGGAGTATTCAGTCTCAGTTTCAGTTTGGGAAGGACAGGAGGCTCGATGGCCTATGTTAGTCCTGACAATGGTGGTCTCTCAGTTGATCCAACTTTCTTTTGAAAGAGTCGACGGATGGAGCCTCAACCACGTGCTGAGGTAGTGAATTCCACTCGTTGATGATTCGATGGGAAAGTCGATAGTCAGCTGACAAGTAATTTGTTCTCGGCTTATGAACTTTTTTAGAGTGTCCTCGTAAATTCTCTGTTTTGGAAGACAAGAAAAATGAGGGCATGTTAGGTGCAAATTTATCACTAAGCAATTTGTAGACTGTAATGAAGTCGCCTCTAGTTCTGCGATATGACAACGGGAAAAGGTTCAGCTTGGCCAGTCGAGATTCATACGGAAGCTTCGCTATTGCGGGAACCAGCTTAGTCGCCGTTCTCTGAACCTTTTCCAGAAGCTCACTGTCTTTTTTAAAGCAGGGGCTAGCCGCTTGTATGCAGTACTCAAGTTTAGGGCGAACGAACACTGTATACAAAGTCAAAAACGTCTTAGCGTCGACATGACTAAAAGCCCTACGTATTGACCATAACGTTCTAAAACTTTTGGCGGCTATTGCACGGCAGTGTGCAGTAGTCTTTAAGTCTTGACTAACGATAACTCCTAAGTCATTATATGTCTGGACGACAGGTAGCTCAGTGTTATTCATCGTGTATGTATCTGTGCCTTGATGACCGATATGCATCACAACACACTTGGAAGTATTTATCGGCAACTGCCATGTTTGAGACCATTCAGATAACTTCTTCAGGTCATTTTGAAGTTCTAAGCTATCACTCTTACATCGTATCGTTCTCCATATCTTGACATCGTCAGCATATAGCAAGACCGATGATGATAGGAGACAAGGAAGGTCATTTACATACAAGAGGAATAGCACTGGCCCCAAAACTGTACCCTGGGGGACTCCACTAAGCACGGTTTCCCAGCTAGACAACTTGGAGTTCACCCTTACTCTTTGTTGACGCCCAACTAAGAAGTCTTTTATCCACATCAATAAATTACCTCCAATCCCGGCATGTCTTAACTTATATAACAGCCGGTTGTGCGGAACTTTATCAAAAGCTTTACTGAAATCAATGAAGGCGACGTCTACAGGTAGCTTTTGGTCCTTAAGAGCACACCAGCTTTCACGAGCCACTAATAAGTTAGTGAGACAAGAATAACCTATTCTGAAGCCATGCTGCTTCTCCGAGAGGATCCGGTTTTTATCGAGATACTTAAACAGCTCCTTCCGAATAATCTTTTCTAATATTTTAACAACCACACTAGTTAGGCTAACGGGGCGGTAGTTCTCAGGTTTGTGTTTCCTGCCTGTTTTGAAGACAGGACTTACTATGGCGTTTTTCCAATCTTTCGGTAAGCGACCCTGCGTAACGGATAGGTTAAAGCATGTACTTGAAGGGTTCGCAACGAGGTTAGATAATTCCTTCAGTAGCCTGGGATGTAATTCATCGGGCCCCGTGGATTTACCTATGTCAAGCTTATTTAGTAGACCAAAGACATCGAGTTCTTTAATGGTCACGCTATCCAGTGTATGTATGGGGGGATCTGTATACGCTGACGAGGGCGCTTCTATGGTATACACGTTGCTAAAGTAGTTTGAGAACGCTTGAGCCTTACCAAAGTCGTCCTTCACTAATGATGAAGCAGTACTGGAAATATAGCGTTTCCTCCCGCATACCAAAAGGATAAGAGTGTATTGGAATGTATCTGAAAGCGAGCCATAAATTCAGCTCGATCTTATAAAAAATGCCTTAAATCGCTGGACCACTAGGTGAGACTATAATTTATGGACAATCTTTGAGCTAAGGTAGACTGACCTTAAGGGTGTCCACCTAATATCTATGACCAAATAAGGGTTCTAAAGTTGTGTGATGAATTGTAATTATGTTTTACAATTGACGATTAACGTTAGAAATTAGATTTTAGGTTTTCATCACGAACTTACATCAGCTATAATGTCAAAACTCTGTTTAACCAAATTGAATAATTGGATTTCGCGCCAATATCCGAGGCCTATTATTTTATACCTTATTGGTTCGTCCATAAATTATAGTCTTGGCAGATCACTACTCATTAGATTCCAGGCGTTTCAGAGGTGACCTAATGGCTTATAGCATCCTAAACACTCCTGTTCACCCCCTTAAATACTTTAGCTCAGTCTAACAAATCCTACGGGTAACACCCAGAAATTAGAGACACTATATAGCAGAATCGACTGTAGGCACACCTTTTACTGTATACAAGTAGTCGAATTCTGGAATTCGCTGCCGGCTGAGGTGGACCAAGCAACTTTCCAGAAATTCTTCATGAGGAAACCTACTATATTCTTGAGGACGCAGAACAGTATTCTACTATAATTTACTGATTTCACTTTTTGTTTCGTTAAATATACCTGGGTTTCTTTGAGGTATCACTGACCCACTGCTGGTATATGCGGTAGCTCGTTATGCTCATCGCTTGCTTTGTGTGCGTCCATTGAAGTTATTTAAGTTGCTGTCTGTTTACTGAATATCTTCAAGCCTTGGTTGTTATGTGATCTGTATCCTATTTATCACAGGTTACTATCTTTTGGGTTTATTGTTTCCCATTTTTAAGTATTTCTGTACTTCTAATTGTATCATTGTTTATATTCATGTTGCTTTGCTTCTTGACGCTCTAATACTTTTATTTTAGACGTCATAACAAAATTTAATTTGCGATAAATTATTATTTGTGTTTTATCGTTATGTCACTTTTCAAAGTAGTTCTATTGTTCTCTAATACTCTATAAGTTAGGTACTGTGTCCCTGTCTTGCTACTTCATCTTCTGTTTGACAGGAATGTGTTTTTCCGATAGTATAACATTATTGATAAATGAAATGTTATCTATTAAGTCAATGATAGAATATAAGTTTCACTTATTTGTCAAGGAATTTCAAACTGAAACACCAGGCTTATTTCTTGCCAGTCACATTAATTTCTCAATATGCTGTCTTATGATGGATTTGTATTTGTTTTATCTACTAATGACAATATTTTTCACTACTTTAGCTTTTTGAGAAATAATTGTGTGACGTAAACCTATGTTTTGCGCTGAAATTAATGCCCTCTAAATTGTGTCACTTATTTACAAACTTTTATCCTACTGTCATGAATAATAAAATAATTAGTGTGAAAGATGGTAAGTTGTGGTGATATGTCCTTTTTAATGCTTTGTGAATGTTGCTTCATAATTGAACGGGAGCTGTCTATGGCTTCATAGTTGTCGTAGTAGTTGTATTGGTCAAGAAATCAAACTCGTGGTGGTGTGGGGTGGCATTAGAAATGCAGTGCATCGGTGATTACTACTTTCTGGTTGGTTACACTGAGGGGATACTTATTTAGTTACCTAATAAGGTGACTATACTGATAGTGGTCTTGTCATTGTAGGCGCTTGGCCACAAAGCTCAAGCGATAAGTACTCAGGGGCTGTGAGTACTTCATGTGTTAACTTCGTTTGTTCAACATCTTACTATTAGCATCGGTTAGACATGCTATTTCTTCGAGTTAACACTTTCTGACCCCCTGTGAGCGGGTACCATATACGGAAATGATATTTGTCTGAGAGAATAACATCTTACTGACACTACAACCCGGAACAGTCACCAGGACACTTCACTCCCGAACTTTAAGTTACCACTCTTCAACCGACTGACATATGGGGTTTAAATGAATAAGTGTTCTAGCCAATGCAGTTTAATTGGGAAATCACGATAAGTAAACCTAATCGCTACGATAAGGTAGCTGCTACAATCGGGTACTTCATTTCTTGAACTTAGCTCCACCTACTTAAGCGTAGAATGTGTTTTAGTGTTTTGATATATGGACTGTTTATGTGAGTTGTTATTTACAGCGTATGTTGTACATAAAAAAGTAGAGGAAAAAATTGTCGAGGTGGAGAAAATAATACTATGTGTAACTTAATTTTGGCGATTGAAGTGAGCTTAGTTAATCATACGCTACATCGAACCTGGGACATGTATATATCTATTCACTTTGCTATAGCATATATTACAGCAGAATGCTAGAGTAGTAGAAGGATTGTAAGAGTATCAGTGGTAATACAAAACGATATTAGGTACAGGTAATATGAGTCGGGAAGGAAATTGCATTCATGAAGTAAAAAGCTTAAGGTGATTTTGAAATTCAGGACCTAAGAGAGAACAAAGAGTAGATGCGAATGCTCCATTGTGATCAACTCTGAGCCATGTCATCCATCGTCTTCAATCGTTGGTTATAATGCTCACGCGGATCGCGACCAGACGGTCTACGCCCACCAACATGGCGCAATTCACTTCTCAATGACCTTATCAACTGATACCATGTCTTCGGATTGGTCATCCCCAGCTTTCTTTCAACCTATTTCTACGCCACCAAATATCGCTCGTTGAGATATTTTGTTTTATTATTTTAACACATAGATATTGGTACAAGGAGGCATCAAATACATACACGCCACACAGATCTCATTTCATTTGTGTGAGGGCTGTGATACTGGCCGGGTGCCCAACCCGAATCAGGCGGTTTTCCTATGGAGCCACACCCCGAGCCTTCGACCTGAAGGTTTAATCCACATGGAAATGGAGCATCGTAAGGAGATGCAGTCCCATGTTAGCCGCTGACCAACGATTGGTTCATACACCATTTGTTCCTTCAGGATACTGGAACCCATGTGCACCATTGGCTTGGAATCAGGGTTTTCCAACTCCCCTAGGTGGACTCTCCATGTCCACCAAGCCGGTTAAAGAACCGGACATTCGCTTTTCTCCCTTTCAGTTTCGTAAACAACACCTTCGCCACGAGAAGGCAGTGAGTAGAAGTTCCGCCGTAGTGGTTGTATGCATGTAGCCATGTGAGAGCGCTTCGAGAGAGTGAGAGCTTACTCTCCCCACTCTCGGCCGTATCAGGTCATTTGAGGGATTGTAGGTAGAGAGCGGAATGGATTCTCGCCACTAAATATTGAAAACTAAAGTCTCCAATGTAATGCAGAAAGATTGACAAGATTAGTATACTTTTGGAAATAACGTATCTGGTTTAAACTTCTCGACCGTGACAACTTCAGTAAGTTCAAGTAGATCTCTAAAAGTTACAGAAAGATGTCACATGGTACTCTGAATTGTTAGTCATTCACAATCCTACTCAAGACATTTGGGTGTTGTCAGTCTACTACTTTTCAACCATAGTGTTGGAGACTCAGTGGTTAACATATCACTAGACTTCCGTCAGTTTGTTATATTGTACGACCCTTGGAGCCTTTAGTTCATTATAGAATTCAGTTTGAACTTCCCTCCGACAGCCAAATATTATCACTGATCGTAGAGAGTTCTAAATACATTAACTTATATTTGTTACACTGTTTTTCAACTCTTATCCACATGACATCATAGTCTAAACGTATCGTCCTAATTATATTTAAATAAAAGTTGAAATATATTCAATTATTGTTTCATTTAATACGCTAATGGACTATAATGTTTCGCTTAATTTTTTGTAATTTTATTAGCAAGTTCAAATCTTAATGCAATCGTTCAGTTAATCAATCAAAATGATGGTGTAATAGCACTTCCAACAGACACTATCTATGGATTAGCTTGTTCCGTTTTTAATCCTGAAGCAATTGAACGAATACGTCGTATTAAAGGTCGTTCAGAGACTAAACCTATGGCTATATGTTTAGATCAGGTAGGTTGAATACATTCTGTTCTTTGTGTATGTTTATGTGTTATCAGTAGCAGCTTAGACCAATGTTCAATGATTTTATTTACTTAATGATATGTTATTTAGCTTCCCATAACGTTCTTTTAATTTTATTCTATGCAAGTAAGCACAGCAATCGATTTACTCAACACTTAACAGTAGTTGAATAACAGTAACAGTAGTCGCTCTTCAATTTCGCTATATGTAAGTAATGTTTCAAAGATATTTATAATCATATACTCTCCGTCTACTTATGACTTCTTTTTGCATAGACTGTCTTATAGGGTACTAAATAGCAGGCATTTCACTTGTGTCCCAAATTACACGTTTGTCAAAAACTGAGTACCATTTTCGGTATCGTAATGCATCTATCCGGTGTTCATGTTGTTGTGCTAATGAGGTATGGCAATTTGAACCGATACACATATGTGCCTGGTCCTGCGTTGTAGCTGACTGGTTGACTATCACTAATCTCCTCAAGTTAAGGACTCGTAAACTATTGAATCACCGTTCTGTACGGTTCTATCGTTGACCGTTTCACGAACATCATATTTTCGTAATTCAAATCTAGTTAGTATAATCTTTTGCAAAGTTAATAAAATACCACTTTACTCAATTTTTTATTGAACAACGGATATCCAAAAACGTTTTACGGTGAACTACTAGTGATATCGTGGGGAGAGGATTCAGTCGCTATGACAACAATCAAGCGTCAAGTTCTAATACTTTGCTCTAGGCAACTGAATAAATACCCTTAAAGTCTGACTTGAATCCAAGTATGCGAATTTGTATGTTGGAAACAAACTATCAGATCTTGAATTCATCACATGGCTTATTGAAATATGTGTCACATGCGTCCACTTCCACATTCACTGTTTCGATTATTCTTATTGTAATGAACAAAGACTTGGTTAGGGTGAACCGATACATTACATTATGCAAAATCACATACTGCATTTGTAAAGTATAGAAGCAGTACATTGGATACACCATTTGAACGTCTTCCTTGAATTGTCTCTTAAATACATCATCGTTCTTTCATTTCTGTTGCTACTCAGACTGCTTCTGCCTTTCTTTCTCTTCTTATGTTCCTCTTCTGTCAGTAAGAATCCTACTTCAATATTCCGATGCATACTATTTATATCTGTCTGTATAAGTAGCATACACCACATTATCCTCTCTTTAACACTAATATAAAGGGATTGAGACAAATGACTGTTAAGCTCATTTCTTACATGACCTAATCGATCAGATTCTCAGAGAGCATATCAAATATTCTTTCCATAATCTAAACTCTATCTCAACTGATCATATGAGGGTTCATGTGTGATGATCATGTGCTAACTAATATTTCATCCATTGAACTGTTATTTTTCACAAATGACATTTAAAATATTTTCTTCTTTTTCATATAAATCTAAGTAAACACCCATTCTAGTTCTCCTGCTTCTTGAACTAATAAAACTAAGGACATATAATGCAGATAGTCGATCTTATTTTTTGTAATCAATTTAAATATGAATGTAAACCGACTAAGTAGAATTATTTATTTGAACACATATATATTGGTACAAGGAGGGCACCAGATCTATATGCGCCCTCTAATGCCCTGGTACGGCCGAGAGGGAGGAGAGTCCTCTCTCCTTCTCGAAATTCTCTCACACAACCTCTGCCAGGGAAGTCCTACTCATTGCCTTCTTGTGGTGGGGGTGCTGTTAACGAAACTGAGGCGAAGAAAAATGAATGTCCGGTTCTTTGACCGGCTTGGTGGACATGGAGAGTCCACCTAGGGGAATTGGAAAACCTTGATTGCAAACCAATGGTTCATATGGGCTAGTTCCAATATCCTGAAGGAACAAATGGCATATGAACCAATTGTTGATCACTGGCTACTATGGGACTGCATCTCCTTACGATGTTCCACTGCCTTGTGGATCAGACTTTCAGGTCGAAGGCTCTGTGTGTGATCCCCTAAGAAAAAGATGTGCCTCGATTTTGGCACCCGGGCAGTATCACAGCCCACACACAAATAAAATGAAATGATGATATTTACTGAAAATACTAAGTAGAATTAGTTTTCAATGTTTTGTTATTCATGTAACGTTGATATATGTGCATACATATTTACGCCTTGATTCGCTATTGTGTAGTATTGACTATATGTACTGAATCCTTAGTGCTGATTAGATTTCACTGATCAAGTTGCAATGTGGCCACTAGTCTAATTTGGCAGGACATTTATGCATAGTTAAAATAGTTCATTCATGTTGATTCACAGTGTATAGTTTCCTTTACTTCCTACCTCTGCATGTTTTAGGTATCGCATATCTCCCACTGGTGTGATACAAAAAATATTCCAACTGGTCTGTTATCAGATCTTCTCCCTGGTCCTGTCACTGTTCTATTACCACGTTTTTCTGATAGACTTCAGGATCCATTGAGCAATGATTTACTAAACTCAAGCGACAAGCGTGTTGGTATTCGAATACCAGATTCTGGTTTTATACGTAAACTTATATCAGCATTGAATGAACAAACTAGATTCTCATCAATTATTGGCAATAACGTTGAACATTCTAGTGGTTATGATAAGCACGATAGTATCAGTATTGGTGGTGGTCATCCATTAGTGTTAACCTCAGCAAATTTAAGTGGACAACCGTCGGCGATTCAAATCGAGGTATGAAATATTACAGTGTTTATACTTTTATTTTTGAGAAATTGGAAGAATCCAATCATAATAGTCACAACCAATATGTAGGGTTTGGGACAAATTTGCATTAACTCAAGTTGCCACTCTCTTCACAAACTTCATGTCTCATCGGCACAGCTAGATGAACTTAATAGTAGAAAAGTCTAAATAAAATAGTAGTATTGTTATTTTTGCGGAATCTGACAAACAAACATTTGAACACTGCCCAAATGTTACACGACTAAGAAATCGTTTGACCTCTTCCCTTATCATAAAATTGTTCTTCATTCAGCAGTTATATCATTAAATACATCTATGATTTTTGAATGTGCTTCTAGATTTGTGTGTTTGAGCATATGTTCCTTTGGAGCATCGATGAATAGTAACTGAATACATCTTTATTAAATTAAAGTACTGATTTTATTTCTCCAACTGAAATTGGCATGTTTTTCTAAATTGTCACCGCATCCTCCATCACAACAATAACTTTCAGAAGAAAAAAAACAGAAGTTTTTTTTTGATAACTAAAAACTGTATTTAAGGGGTAACTTGAACTGAAAATTGGGTTATAATTGAAACGAGACATTTAAATTGAAAAGAGCTTAAATCTATAAATTGACCTCATCTTTACTGTTATGTCCGTAGGATTCTTAACTGACTTGGTGCTCGATAGTGGAATACCGTGAATCAGACGACCCAAGTAAAAATGCCAAGTCGATAGATAAGTCAAATAAATCTTGAGATTTGTATTCTTACTTGGGTTGCCCGATTCACAGTTTCCCAGTACCAATTACCAAATCAATCAAGCATTCTGCAGACGAAAGAAGTATCAATGATAGTGAGGAAAAAATATGTTGAACAATAAGATTTGCAAAAAAGAAAAATGAACTGAACTGGTCATTCTTTTTTTTTTCTAAACGTGTTAGCAGGTACAGACTACGTAGTTGAGTTCGGAACGATTTTCATTAACAGTTGTTAGAGAGACGATAAGTAACATGGCTGGGAATCATTTGGGGTTGTGCCGATAGATTCACTTTCTGTCTTACGTTTTGGAATTATTGTATACTATGTTGTCCCTCATATGTCATTGTCCGTGTCCGATGTTATTTTCTACTACCACTGGTCCTGTTATACACTACTTCTACTATAGAGTTGGTCTTGAAAATGTTTTTCTACCTAGGCTGATCTGGTGTAATATCCTGGATTGATGTAGATACGTGACAGGTTCTACGTTGCTTGCGACTGATTGATTATTTTTAGCGGCTTCTTATAAGCTTAGACGGGAAAAAGTTTAAATTCAAAATGAGCAGCAATAGGTCTGTAAACAACAGTTTGACTTGATACATCAAGTCAGGATGAATAAAAAAGCAAGTCACGATATTATTGTCATTTATACCGGTCCAGATTAATGCATATTTATTCAGATGAGTAAAATTTACCCTTGCTAAGTGATGGAGAAGACAGTGTGAGATAAAAAATAAATGCTTGGTCAAACGACACCTAGAATAAGTAAATGACAAGTGACTTCTTTTTGCAGTTAAGCTAGGATTTAAAAGTGAAAAAAATGCTCTGGTACGGCCGAAAGTGAGGAGAGTCCGCTCTCCCTCTCGAAATGCTCTCAAAAGGCCACATGCATACAACCACTACGGCGGAACTTCTACTCACTGCCTTCTCGTGGCGAGGGTGTTGTTGACGAAATTGGGAGGATGAAAAGTGAATGTCCGGTGCTTTAACCGGCTTGGTGGACATGGAGAGTCCACCTAGGGGAGTTGTAAAACCCTCATTTCGAACCAGTGGTGCACATGGGCTGGCTTCAGTATCCTGAAGGAACAAATGGTGTATGAACCAATCGTTGGTCACTGGCTACCATGGGACTGCATCTCCTTATAATGCTACACTGTCTTGTGGGTCAGACCTTTCGGTCGAAGGCTCTGGGTGTGGCCTAAGACAACCACCTGCTTCGGGTTGGGCACCTGGGCAGTATCACAGCCCTCACACAAATGAAATGAGATTTGTGTGGCCAATATGTATTTGGTGCCTCCTTGTATCAATATCTATGTGTTCAAATAAATAATAAAAATAAACGACTTTGAGTTGCTAAGTCTCAGGTTTGAACCCTTATGTCGGTTAGGTTAATCAGGTAGTATCACTAGCTTTCATACTTAGACTGTCATTCAAAATCAAGTATGCAAGTTTGTAATTAGTGTGTCACTTGTAGAGATAAAAGCCATCACCCATTTCTAACATGATCCATGTGGATTTAAGAAAAGTGTGACAAATCACTCTTGCCTTTGTGAAGATAATTTGTCATGAAATAATTTCACTCATCACACTATATCTCTTCTTTTGCAGCCGATTTACTAACTTTTGTTCATTATCATATTGTTTAATTAGACAGTGACTTGTTTCTTTTATTGGTTGCGATTTATTTCCCATTTACAGTTGATGGTTAAGGTTAGGAATTAGATAAGGGGTTTTCATCACGAACTGACATCAGCTATAATGCCAAAACTCTATTCAATCAAATGGATGGATGAATTTCGCGCCGAAATCCAAGACCTATTATCTTATACCTGATTGGTTCGTTCATATATTATAGTTTTGACGTAAAATCTTGTCTACCTCTCTTAGAACAATTAATTCTACTTTCATTCATTTTATTGTGTTATGATACGTTTTCTTCTTTTATATTAAGGAATTTTCCGAAATTTGGTCATCCATTGACTTGATCATCAATGGTGGTCCCATTCAATCTGATATGTCCTCAAAAAGCTCCGATTGTAGCCGGGCCGGTTCAACCATTATTGACTTGTGCAACTGTGACAAGTCTGTTTATTCTGTAGTACGAAATGGCAGGTAAAAATTATACATATTTTTTTACATACTACTTATGTTTGCAACATCAGTAGTAGTATTATTATTAGTAATAATTTGAGCTGTTTGGTTCTCATTCTGGAATCTTTCATTATCATTTTGAATAACATTATCGGTGTCCCATATTAGTGTGTCAGATTTCAATACGATTGAACTGTTGATCATCTAGAGAAAATATGGATCCTACGTTAAATCGTTTATGTTTTGTCAACAAATCTCGTTAATAACAGTACAGATGTGAAAAGTCGAATATATGCTGAAAGTTACACTTTCCTATGAAAAAGGTTTTGAATTATTTGAATGGTAGGAATGACACAGTAGTCATATGCTTTCCAATATCTAGCAATGTTAGTGGAAAAAGTTGCAAGAGAAGGAAATATGAAGTAACTATATGACAATGAAGAAACCGCTCAAGAACAAAGAACGCGAGACAATTACTGATATTCAAAAACAGAGAAACAGATAGGTAAAACATTTCGAGGAACTTGTAAACAGAATAGCTCCACAGAGCATTGAAGCAGCCCCTACAGACCTTCCTTTATATGTCACCATCACCATCAGGATGGCCATCAGACAAATTGAGATTGGAAAAGCAGCAGCACCTGACAACATACCAGATGAAGCACTGAAGTCAAACATTGAAGTAACTGCAAACATGCTCCACGTTCTATTCAGAAAGATTTAGAAGAAAGAATGAATACCGACGTATGGGGAAGCTAGATATCGAAGTAAAGAGATTTGAGCAAGTGTGAGAAGTACAAAGGCGTCACACTATTATCAGTAGCAGGAAACGTTTTCAACAGAGTTCTGCTAAACCGGATGAAAGATAGAGTATACGCTCAACTTCGAGATCAACAGGTTGGATTCTGTAAGGATCGGTCGTGTACAGACCGAATTGCAACACTACATATGATCGTTGAACAGTCAGTTGAATGGAACTCGTCACTGCACATCAACTTCATTGACTATGAGAAAGCATTTGACAGTGTGGATAGGAGAACCTTAAGTAACCCTCTTTAACACCATGGTGTGCCTGAGAAAATCGTCAACATCATCCGGATTTCATACGACTGCAATTTCGTGAGTGGAGGACAGCTGAGAGATGCATTCCAAGTGAGGACCACTGTCAGACACGACTGTCTACTCTCCCCCTTCCTCTTTCTTCTGGTGGTTGTCTGGATTATGAAGGCCTCCAAACCTTAGGGAAAGCACGGAATACAATAAACAGGTTGGAATCAATTAGAAGATTTGTACTTGGTAGATGACATGGCACTTCTATCCCATACACACCAACAAATGCAGATAAAGACAGTCAGTGTAGCAGCAGTCTCTGCATTAGTAGGCCTCAGTATACACAACGAAAAAACCTAGATCCTCAAGCAAGATCCTCGAATATAACATGGAGAACACCAACCCAATCACACTTGGTGGAGGAGCACTGGAAGAGGTTGAAACTTTCAGCTACCTGGTCAGCAGTATCATCAATGAATAAGGAGGATCTGATGCAGGTGCAAATGCAAGGATTGACAAAGTAAGGACCGCATTCCTACAATTGAAGAACATATGGGACTGAAAACAACTGTCAACTAATATCAAATTCACAATCTTCAATATGAACATTAAGACAGTTAGTTCTGCTGTATGAAGCTAAAACTTGGAGAATTACTAGAACCATTATCAAAAACGTACAAGTATTTATAAGCAATTGTCTACGCAAGATACTCAATATCCGTTGACCGGATACCATCGGCATCAGCCTATTGTGGGAGAGAACAAATCAGCTCCCAATTGAAAAGGAAATTCGGAAAAGAGATTGGAAGTGGATAGGACATACATTACGGAACTCACCAAACTGCATCACGATGCGAGCGCTAACTTGGGATCCTGAAGGGAAGAGTAAAAGAGGAAGACCGAGGAACAAATTGCGTAGAGAATTGGAAGCAGACAGCAAAATAATTTATAGTATGTGGTTAAAAGTGGAAAGGACTAGCAAGTACCGAGTAGGTTGTAAAATTCCAGAGAGTAGTGTATGCTCCTCGACTAGATGTAACAGGCATAAGTGCGATATCATGCGTCTTATTACTATGATAATATAATTTCGTAGTATTTTTTTTCACCTTGACGATTGTTTCTTTTCCTTTCTAGTGCATTCAATTCAACGGTAGCCATATTAGAAGGTCGTTACAATCTTTCTCTCGCAGACAATTTTTCCAACATAAACAATTGAAAATTAATTCCATTTTTTAAATGGTTTGAATTTTCCCGCCTATTCTTCTTCTTCAATAATCTAATTCTCCTGCGCTTTCACACTCCTCCATTTGTCTTCAAATCAATGTATTCGTATTATTATTATTATTATTATTATTACGTAACCCCGTATTTCACTTTTCTTTGCACATTCAGGGATTTCTTCTTCGTTTGATGATGATGATGATGATGATTTTTACTATTATTGTTATCCTTTTTTTGTAATTTGTTTTCATCAACAAAAAATATATATCCGTCGGTTGTTAAGATAACCAGTGATGTTAAAATTCACTTATCATATATGATCGTATTAAGTTACAATGTTCTATTGTTATCTCTTTGTAATAAGTCATTTCAGTCAGCTACAACGTGTAGGATCAGGCACATATATGCATCGGCCCAAGTTGCCATACCGCATTAGCACAACAAGATCAACACCGGATTCATAGGAGTAGTTACTTCAATGGTAGTAATCTATAAAAGAAAGATTGCATATAAGAATATAGTACGGGTAGAAAGAATTAGTTCGTATAAAAAAGATATGAAGCGATTTTAATCTCATAGTGTTATGACTTGTGACCGCCGATTAGAGAGCAGTGACTTATCGATCGGATCAATGACGCGTAAACCCGTATGAGCAGCCTAGTCAGTCAGTCAGTAACAACGTAGAACTTCGTACGTACGTACATCAGTTCGAGTTGCCACACCACATTAGCACAGAGATGCAGTTGTCGATTCAAATCCCATAGTGGTAGAGGTAATAAGAGTATAAGCAGTAATCGGGAAGATTAGGGTTTGGAGATGTTATTTCAAGAGTATAATCCAGTGAAATAAATTTGGAAAGAGGAAAAAAGGCACATGAAGAATTCAGAAGATTAGAATTTGGTAGAAGACAGAGAGTAGATGCACCTGCGCTATTGCAAACGATTTTGAGCCATGTCATTCAGGGTCTCTAACCATCGGTTGCTGTCATCTCGCGGTCCCCAACCAGGTAGTCTACACTTACCAACATGACTAAGTCCACTTGTCAGTGACTTTATGAACTTGCGCCATGGTTTAGTCTGGACGCCCCTAGCTTTCTTCCAACCTACTCCTACACCATTGGACATTGCACTTTGAGGCAGTCGGTGGTTGGGCATACGTAACACGTGTCCCAGCCATCTCAACTGATGAAGTTTCACTACGTCATCAACCGATTTGCCATCCTTACCTAGTACCCGTTTCCTAACAACTGTGTTACTTACTCGATGGTCCCATGATATACGAGCAATGTTTCGAAGACACCTATTATCAAATACTAGTAGCCTATGGATATCCTCTACTCTTACCGGCCATGTTTCACTGCCATAAAATAGGACGGAACGAACTGCTGCGCAGTAAACACGTCCTTTGTTTGATAGACGGATATCTCGCCTACGCCATAAATGACGCAAGTTGGTGAAAGCTAGTCGAGCCTTCTGTATCCGTGCTGAGATTTCGTCACACACCAGACCACAAGGGCTGATGAGACTTCCAAGATAAGTGAAGCGGTCGACACACTCAACTACTTCACTCCCTATCACTAGTTCGGGTGTCGATGTAACCCAATCCTGAAGCAACATTTTGCATTTCGAGGGAGAGAATGGCATCCCGAACATGCTTGCATTGTTGCTTAGAGTGGTCAGAAGACTCTGCATTTTGTCAGCGTCTTCACCAAATAAAACTATGTCATCTGCATATTCTAAGTCAACAAGTGAACCTACCGGTAGAAGTTCAACACCTGTAAATTTAGATGAGGAGAATGTTATCTCTAAAAGTACATCAATGACAAAGTTGGACAAGAATGGGGAGAGTGGACAGCCCTGACGAACACCACTTGAGGTAATCAATTCTGATGACAGTTCGCCATAAGCTCTTACTCTACCAATTGTGTTCGAGTAGAGAGCCTTTATAAGGTTAATGTACTTCTTTGGTACTCCTTTCAGTGACAAACACTGCCATAGAACCTCACGATCAACAGAGTCGAATGCCGCCTTAAGGTCGAGAAATACTACCATTGTGGGGCGTCTGAATGTGTGTCTGTGTTCTAGAACCTGACGTAGTGTGAATATCTGATCTATACAACCACGTCCAGATCGAAAACCGGCCTGGTTTTCTCTAATCTGCTCTTCACGAGCTTTGATTAGGCGTCGAAGTATTATTGAAGCTAATATTTTAGACACTATATTAGTCAAACTGATTCCTCTGTGATTGTCACAAGAGGACTTTTGTCCTTTCTTATAGACTGGCACAATCAGTGATTGAGACCAGTCAGATGGGATTACGTCCAGTTCCCAAATTCTACCTAAGACCTCGGTCAATCTCATTGCTAATACTGGACCACCATCCTTAAAAATCTCAGGAGTAAACCTGTCAGGGCCTGCTGCTCTCCCTCGTTTCAGATTTCCTATGGCTTTTTCAACTTCGTAAAGGGACGGAGGACCTACATTAACTTGCCATTCAGGTTGACTGGAGATCATGGGAAACCGAAGTGTGGCTGAAGGCCAGTTGAACTGATCCCTAAAGTGTTCTGCCCATCGATCCAATCTCCTGGATTGAGAATGAATAATATGTCCATCTTTCTCTGAGATTGTTTCGCTAATGGTCGGGTTCCTAATTCCGGTTTCCTTAACGAGTCTGAACAATTGTCTGCTATTACCTATTGCCGCTGCCTTTTCCATCTCTCTTGCTTTCGCTACCCACCACTGTTCGCGATCATTGCGTAGACTTCTTGTCAGCTTGCGCTTAAGCTGACTCCGCTGTTCATTATGTTCAGAGCCAGGTGGAGTGAGTTTCCGAGCATCTATCAGTGAGATAGATGCTGTTGAGATCCAGTGTTGCTCCCTAACCTTCTGGTTTACCTTACTAGCAGATATCACTGCTGTTTCCACAGCTTTTCGAATATCATTCCATGCTGCATCGGGGTGGGCATCACATACATGGCTGCCTAACTGTTTGCCTAGTTGTTCCTGAAATATACTCTTAGCTTGACTATCATTAAGTAGGCCCCTAAGAGGTTTCCTTGCAGCGTCTTTCCTACGTCCAGTAAGACGCAAGCAAGTACGCGCTCGCACTAGAGCATGATCTGAATCTAGGCATGTGCTCCAGAATGAGCGACAGTCTTCTATCGAGCCCCTCCATCGGTGGCTGATAGCGATGTGATCTATTTGGGTCCAACGTTGGGACGAATTAGAGGGTTGCTATGTTAAAAGATGTTTTTCCTTATGCTTAAAGTTAGTATTTGCAAGGAATAGGCGGTTATCTGAGCATAGCTGCAACAGACGGTCGCCATTATCTGTTCTTTGAGCCACGACACCATAAGATCCACCTAGGTGTCTTTCCCTATCGCTTAGTTAACCTACTTGAGCATTAAAGTCACCGGCCACTATTACTACATCAGAGCGCTTAGCTTTTCGGAGAAGGTCCGAAAGCTTTCTGTAAAACTCATCTTTTACATCATCTGAGCTGCAGTCAGTGGGAGAATAGGCAGAGACGACGAAGAGGCAACGACGAGTGTCCCTATCTTTCCGGATTCTTACTGTTCCGTTCAGTCGGACAGCGCACAAACGACTGTCTACTGGGATCCACTCTAAGAGAGCTAGTTCTGCCCTAGGACTCAATGCTGTGCCTACGCCGGCGAGGCCACGGGAAGCAGAATCAGGGCTTCCAGATACACGAAGCGTAAATCGAGTCGGTTCTTTATTTTGGCATGGTGAGGTCAAATGAATGACGCTACTTGGGTCCTGTATGCGCGTTTCGGAGACGCAGCACACATCGATGGCGCGAGATTCTAAAGTTTTAGCTAAGGAAGCCTGCTGTCCTATTTGGCAAAGTGTTCGTACGTTAAAAGCTCCTACGTGTAGTTTAGAGCGTGGTTTCAGGAGACCAGGAATGGCGTTCCACGTACTCGAATCGTTTGCCCTAGCGGTGCGAGGTGATAAAGAGATGTGAGGAGGGTTAGTCGGGAGGATAAGAGAGGTATTAGGAGGTGTAGGAAGGATTTGAATGTGACCACCTTGGTCTCTTGTGCTGTTACGAGTATGAGGGCTGATGTCACTTCCCGGCTGCCCACACCGTGGAAGGGTATTTCTTGATGAACCTGAAAAGGAAATTGGATTAGTGTTGGTCTTGACGACCTGGGAGCGTGACCGCAGAGCCCAAGGGAAAACTGCTTGAGGCCGGTCGCGCACGGCCTTTTTGTGGAAGGTTTTTGACGTGTTAGCTCCGTTCTTCAAAGGGCCTTACCGCCGGAGACGGAAATCCGTGAGGTAAGGTGAGGTGTGACATTTTTAGGGTCGACCTTTTCTAACCCCACCCCTCCTTGTGGAAAGGCAGCATTGCTGTCATGCTGGTTGTCCGAGGGAAACACCTTACTGCTGTCACACCTCTGTACAATCAGCAGTACGACTTCGCCCTCAGACCTTGAGTTGCTGCTTTTAGTCTTACCGTTCACCAATCGACCTGTCTGGCATGGTAGAACCTGCAGGAACATATGTTCCAGCCAATATAGCTCGGTTGGGTCATCATGATAGGCAAGCCCGACCACCGCGTCAAGGTAGCAGCCTAGAGTTCTGATTGGTCCTGTTTCCCGCATAGCCTAGCCAGTTAAGTCCAGAACATTAATCTTAGCCTCTGCGATATGAACCATTTATTTAAAAAATACTCGGTTTATATATCAACCAAACAGACCACAACGTACCATAAAGTAGAAAATAATATTTGGCCAACAGGAAAATGACGCGTGAAATAAATATTGACCAGCAGGGAAACGACACGTGAAATAAAAATAGACCAATAGGAAAATGATGCCATTTCAAGTCGAAGGATAACATTAGACTTAACAGGATAATTTTTGGGATATTTTTCTGAATATCCCAACACAGTTTAAAAGAAGACAAAGAGTGTATACACCTGCACCGTTGTGATCAATTCTGATCCATATCATCTAAAGTCTCCAACCATTGATTACGATAATCACGCCGACCCCGAACCAAGTAGTATGCATCTACCAACATGGTTCAGACTAGAAGTTAGTGACTTCGATGACTGATGCCATGTTTTGATTCGGCCGCCTAATATGTCATTTACCTGTTTTGTATTTTAATTGCAATGAGAGTACTCATGACTTTTTTTTGTAGAAAAATTTAGAAACACTTTGTTCAGTGTAACTTTTCTTTTCTTTGAAACTCAGGTGTAAGAGATGTCTAGGGATTGAAAGTTTGTTAAAAAGTCATTGTTAAGTATTCTAGTAG